TAAAAAAAAAAGGAAAAAAGACATTATATAATTTTATAATTAGAACTGTACACATTTTACACAAAAATTACTACCTTCACTTTGCTGTTCTTGGTGAAGTGAGGTAGAATTACAGTAAAAAAGGATGGGTTTTTGGTGCCATGTGTAGAAGTGTCGGTGGATCGAAAGAACCTATGTTAGATGCAGAGCTAGACTAATGTCAGGACAGGTAGTTTATTCAATTACACAGCTATAAGCTAGTGGAATAGCGGATCACAGGAATCACTTGGACTGGCGCATACGATAATACAGGGCCAGCCCAATAAAAAGAGACTCCGCTGGCAGGGCATGACGAAGACACGGTGTGGCGCACTTGGTCTGTAGTGTTCTTGCAGAGACGAAACGAAGCAGAGACGAAACGAATAAAAGATTTGCTGGTGTGTATTTACGGCAATCAGATCAAACGCTACAACCTATAAATACGGAAGATGCCCAACTGGGCACCGATGGAGAAAGAGTAGTAGAATGAGGATACCGAGGTTCCAACGGTTGTTTGAAATCATAGGGGTGATAATGAAGATGGGACGAGATGTCGTAGAAATCAAGACGGGACGAGGCGGTGTAAATAAAGAGGCAGGACGAGACGTTGTAAAATAGAGACCGATGGACGTTGCAGACGTACAAGCGGATGGGAGTTGTAGAAGAAAACCTGATGCCGTTTCTCGACTAAGGCCCAAAGTAAAAGTGGCGAGGTTTTTTATAGAGTGCTGGAAAACACCTTATCGCTCTTCGACGATCTGGTGTGAATAGCGTTAAGAGCATCCTGAGAAAGACACTATGTGGATTATACATGACAATAAAAGCTACATGAGAAAAATCGCCATCGGCGATAAAAAGGAAAGATTATATACCAGACAAAAGTCACATGAAGAATTTTAATATAAAAACGAGAGTGGAAAAGTCGAATTTTCCACTCTCGTTGCGGAGACAGTCACAATACTGCCCTTACAATACAGAAAAGACAATCAATCATAAGCGAACGCATTTAAAAATGCAGCTGAACAATGCCTTATCACCTTACGGTGATCAAAATGTATGAGACATTAAAAGCATCATAATCATGCAATATGCAGATTATGCATCGCTGCACAACAGCTTGTGGAAAAAGATGTCGATTTTGCAGTCGGCGATAAAAAGAAAGATTAAGTCTCACATAAAATGTCTGCTTTCGACATTTCATAATGATTTTATAAAAAATATTTTCATCACCGCCCGATGACAATACATGAAAAAGTGGAGGAATCCAATAAGCAAGCAATGGGTACTAACTTGAGGCATGCAGTCCAAGATCGAATGGTCTGGAGCATCCCGACTACTTTGCTAAAATTTTTGTCTAGGTGATCTTGGCGTTCTTTGTAATTACAAAATTTTAAGTACAACTCAATAAAAAGCCAGCTTTTTCATTAAAAAAAGGGAGAGAAGAAAACAATAAAGGGGTTCAACTACGAATTACAGTTTTCTTGAAAAGATCAAGGACATTCTAGCAAATCGCTAAAGAAATTCTGGGATTCGCTACTAATAGTTATTATTATCGAGACTTATTTATACGCTCATACAACTACGCCAGGCCCTACAATCTTAAGCGACGTGTTATCAGATAAATCTTAAACTTAGT